TTTTTTATTGCTCTTATCTATTCTATTTTATACCTTTTTGTACGCAAATATATGCATGCATGTATTTAAATAGAATATTAATGTTAATAAATGTTGATGGAAAATGCAAACTTAAATGTGACTTTGTAAATTTGTCTTTTGCTGTTCGTCTACCCCTTTATTGGCCTGGACGAACCAATAGTGTGCTTGCAAAAAACAAACAAAAATATGCATACATACACTTTGTAATTTTTATGTACGATATTATATTTAAAGGTCCACAAAATAAGTGTTAATTTTTATAAGAAACTCTTTTTCAAAATCTTTTTAAAACAATTTCAATTACTGTCCGAAAGGTATGAAAATATTAAATTTTAGATTATTTTATTTACATTATTATACTAGCATAACAATCTGATAGCTGCTTCTTATAGAACATGTACTTCATCTTTCCAATTCTAAAATGAAACGAATTTCGCAAAATTCTTTAGCTATCCAGTTTATTTAAAAAAATTACTTTTTATAATTAAAGTAAAAAAAATTGATTACATTGTTATTTAATATACAAAACAATGTAAATTAAATTAAAAATTGTATTTTCCTTCTTTTTTTTACTTGATATACGCCTTTATAAAAATGTTTTAAACGTTCCTTAAGAGAAATTTCTTGAAAATTAAATTATTATATCATGAATTAGGCCTATATCATTTTAAAAATTAGAATTTGGAGATAAAAAAATTCTAAACACTTATATTTGGACATTTTAAAATTTCTCATCTATAACTTAATTACGCATTCATTCGAAAAAGTAAAATATTCATATATTTTAATATATACATAATTTATAAACCTATAAAAATATCTAAGACTTTTATATTTTTAATAAAACTGTAAAAACAAGATTTTTAATTATAAATTTTTAAATGAATTATTTTTATTATATATATAAATATTTATATATTGTTTTCTTTGCAGCATAATTTATTATTAAGACCAGTTTAAAACGCACAATCTAATATGATCCATGTCGATGAAACAGATTTTGATGATGGTAAGTTTTTTTTATCATTAATCATACTCAATTTGGATTTAAATTACAACAAACAGTAATGTTTGTGTGAAATTATATGTCTGTTAATGTTTCTGTTGTCTTAAAATATATTTATATTGATTTAGTCGCATTTGTCTCAGTACAACATACGTCAGTTGGCTTAAAATATTCTGGAATGATTAATTTGCTATGTAATTATGGTCAAATTAGATATCTTCCAATTATAAAATGATGCGATCACATTTTAAACTTAGTCTAGTTTAAAAAAAGCTGATGGAAATACCTCGTATTTTCCATTATACGTTTTAAATTATTTTGTTAATTATAAATCGGATAGATAATGTCTTATTTTGTCTTCTACACCCAAGTGGCTCTTAGTAAGCCATTTCATTATTTTCGCATTCTTGTCATGCTGCCCGTTCACAAACACATCTATAGCCGTTTTCCATTAATACTTTCACGGATTCAGTTGTTCTTAAAGCAGACAATTCCAAACATTTGTATGACCTTCAACGAAAATAAGACATGTTGTGATATTCCGATCGACGTATTAGATTACTTCCTAAACATTACAAATCTCCTATCTTTGCTGTTATCCTATTATTCTGAAATATAAACACGGACGACCGCAATAAATTGAGGGAGAAAAGTCAAAACATGTCACTTTAATCTTTCATAAATAATCAAATTATAATTTTAATTAAAATGACATGTATTGTTGTTATTAATAATTTTAAATTAATAATTTAGAGGTAGAAATACCCTTCGAACCAAGAAATGTTGTTGTCAAAGTTGGAGAAGATGTGAAAAAAGACTATAATCTACACGAAGAACTTGGAAGGTAAGACTACTTATTAAATTTTAGGATCTTTAAATTGAATTTCTTAATCTGGTATACAGAATTATCTTCGCAACAGATAGGATATTATCGAATTTATGCATCTAGTCTAAGTAAGGAAAAGTGAAAACTTTAACTAAGCAACTCCTTCAGACTGAAGTGTTGTGGGATTGTAAAAAATGTTTAAATGATGTTTTTGGGAATGAATTTTGTCAAATTGCCAAACTAAAAGAACGAAACTATTACGTCATGAAACAACACTTCAGGTTGGCTCTTATATTAGTTCCTATATAAAAATCAACATGTTTCAAGTTATTGCCATTTCAAAAATTCTTATTTTAGAAAACAAAATTTTTAATATTCTTTAAACTTTTTCTTATTTTAAAGTTATAACAAGGAAAATGTTTTAATTCTGTTTTCACCTATTAGCGTATCATTAATACAGTGTAGTTACATTTACATTGCCAGGAGTAACGATCATTTTAGTAAAGATTAAATAAATAAATCAAATAAATGTTCATGTAGAAACATGAAATAGTTTTAATTTTTGAGTTCTTAAAATTATTACCATTGTTCAGAAACTTAGTTGACAAGAACAAAACTTCACATAAAACCACATATCGTATTTTAGAGTCAAACTTAACCTGAGCGCCTTGCAAGAGATGTTTATGTAACAACTTCTTCAAGGCAGTCTTAGTTTACTGCTTGCCATATTTGTTCTTCATGACCTAATTCCTTGTCTCCGATCCAAATGTTGCTCCTCTATGTTTACACAGTTAATTCATGCGAAAAAGTTTATGATTAAATGTGGGAATACAAACCAAAAAGATACGTTTTGTGCGAAAATTGCGGTATTTAAAAAATAAATATCCATATTACCATTTAAAGACTTTTTATAATAATTTTTATAATAATTTATTTACTTTTCGTGTTTTATTATCGTGTATTATTTTCGCAGGTAGATTTATGTCATCAATAATTTTTAAAATTATTTTCAGAGGTAAATTTGGAACCGTATATAAATGTTCAGAAAAGGCTTCAGGAAAAATTTTTGCTGCCAAATTCATTATAACTCCCCGGAAAGATGATCGAAAAGATGTGTTGAGAGAGGTGGAGATTATGAGATGTCTGCAACATCCTCGTCTCTTACAACTTTATGATGCGTACGATGATGGAAAGAAGGAGATGTGTCTAATATTAGAACTGTGAATAATTTTTCCAATTCTTTATTCTTAGATATGTTACAAAACATAATTTATAATTATAAAACTGAATCATATCCACTTGATACTAATAAATATATTTTTATTAATTGAAAACAATTATGATCTTTTTATGAATATGCACCTAAGTTCTTAGGATAGATTACCATCAAAATTAATCGAAGTTAAATCAAAATAAAAATGGAAGAATAAATGAAATTTAACTTTTAAATTTACTTCTATACATCTTGTAAATTTCTAAAATTTAAACTTTCAAACTGATAATGTAAAATTATCTTCTTGATGCAGCCTATTTAAAGGCTTACAAAGTGTATTAATGTATGAATACGTAGGAGTTAAAATTTATTTTATATTCCAGCATAACCGGAGGAGAACTGTTTGAAAGAGTTATTGATGATGATTTTATCTTGACCGAAAAAGCATGTACTATATTTATGAGACAGATATGTGATGGTGTTTTATATATGCATTCGAGAAACATCTTGCACTTGGATATGAAGGTAAACTTTTTCATATACAGTTTTAATATCATTATATGTGGCCTAACATTTCTTTTTTCAGCCAGAGAATGTGCTTTGTTTAACAAGAACTGGTAACAGAATTAAGCTGATTGATTTTGGCTTAGCTAGAAAATTAGAACCCGGTAAGAAATTGCAAGTGTTGTTCGGTACTCCCGAATTTGTGGCCCCAGAAGTAATTAGTTTTGATCGTGTATCCTATCAGACGGATATGTGGAGTGTCGGTGTTATTTGTTATGTTCTGTAAGTCTTTTTTGTTAATCCCGTAAATCTATCATTTATGATCGAAGAGCAACTTTTTCTTTTTCAGTCTTTCTGGTCTATCCCCATTTATGGGTGATAATGATGCAGAAACTATGGCCAATGTCACAAGAGCTGTTTATGATTTCGATGATGAAAGTTTTGACAAAATTTCAGATGAAGCCAAAGACTTTATTGAAAAGTTATTAGTCAAAGAGCTAGAGTAAGTCGAATAAAATTATGGAAACAAATATATCTTTATTGATTAAAATTAACGAAATTCCATGTGACTTGTAATAACAATTCATAGTAAACAACTTTCCAAATTATGAAAAGTTGTTTACTATAAATACGCATATTTATTTTGCTAATAATTATTTTTTTTTATTTACAGAGAAAGATTAACAGCGGCTCAATGTTTAGAACATCCGTGGCTGAGGGCAAGTTTCTATTTTATTACTCAAATAAATTTGAAAAACTTTTAAAATTTTTTTGAATGATTTTAAATTTTATTTAAAGCATTATTATGTTAAAATGATTTTCAAAAAGATTAGACTAAATATTTATATTTTTTATGAAACTATTTCGAACTGTAGAGAGATAAGAAAAAAGAAGAGAAGACTTTAGACAAAAAGAAATTGAGGAGGTTCGTCATAAGAAGAAGATGGCAGGTAAGTAGAATAAAGACCTGTAATAATTATGTTTCAGGTGTTACAATGATAAAGTACAAACGTTATTATTTAAATTTAAAATGTAGAAAGCCGTCAATGCACTTTTGGCTCTGAAGAGGATGGGAGCAGTTATTTAATCATAATAATAATAAATGTAAGTATGCTAGAGTTTTTGTTTCTGGTAATTTCGCTTGGGATCAAATCAGAAGTAAATTAATAATTTAAAACTTTTCAAAATAAAAAATAGGCATTTTTATATCGATTTATAAGAATGTACAACGTGCGTCTACTAAATACGGGGACTGAATTTATAAAAAGTTTTTTGCAGAAATGATTCAATTTAGTACCAGTATTTAAAATAAACACTACCGTGACATATATACATTTTTTACACGCTATAGTAATTTACATATGCCCTCATGAAAAGATCTTTTTGAAGTGCTGTTTAATTCCTTCCGTATAACCTCTTGGATTTCCAAAATTGACTGAAATTGTCTCTTTCAAAGCAAATTTTAATTTGGGGAAAAGAAAGTGGTCAGGCTGTTGGGAACTCCTGTTCTCAAATTAAAATTTGCTTTGAAACGGAGACAATTTCAGTCAATTATAGAAATCCGAGAGGCTAAACGTAAGGAACTAGACAACACTCCAAAAAGATCCTTACGTGAAGGCATAGGTAAGTAGAGCGTGCAAAAATTTGTACAGGTTACAGAGGAGTTTATTTTGAAGACTGATACTAAATTGCCAAAAACTATTCTACAAATTCAGTACCCGAACATAGTGACTTACTGTTAGAAAACGCACCTTGTAAAATAAGTCAAGAAACATTTCGAATAATTTATACAATAACATTAAATTATCGAATAAGAAGCGTTTTAATGTTTAAATTAAAAAAAAACTTTTCAAAACGTTGGTAATAAAAATATAACATTGTGTTCAAAGTCAGATGAGGAAAATATATCAAGATAATTTAAAATGAAATAAATATAGTACAGTTGTCCCTTGATAATCCGACAGGTAAGGGACCAAAGGTGTGTCAGATTACCAAAAGTGTCCGGATTACCGAAAATAATTACATATTTCGCATTGTTTTGCTAGCAGTAACTTACAATATTCTCTACTCCAACTGTTCGAACAGAACTGCTCACATAAAACACACGAAATGTGTGTCATCGAGTAAGAATTGGATGGGGAGATTCACATCGCGACATGCTTCTGTGCAAGCAGACACGTAACGGGGACGGGTACCTTGACGGGAGGTGCGTCGGACTACTGAGCATGTCGGATTAAAAAACGTCGGACTATAGAGGGACAACTGTATTTGAATAAATTTAAAAACGTATGTAAATTTTATGCTGGTTCATTCAGCTTTGGAACTGATATTGACTTATTCGTGTTATAAGAAACGTCAAATAAATGCCAAATTTTGCTCGGTAATATAATCTATTTGCGATTTGATCTCAAGCGTTCGTTAATAAAATGCTATTGAAAATTGATTAGTTTGAATATTCGAATTCGTTTCAATTTAAATTATACCGTTATGTAAATTAGTATAATCTAATCTTGATCATTTCGTACGCAGATATTTCCAGTATTGGATTGCTACCTAATAATCCACAAGGTGAACGAGGGTGATTCCTCGCTCTCCCTTCCTGCAATCCCCTCTAGGTACATTCCTTAGTCCGATTCCCCATCCCATCGGATATCGATCCGAAAAAAAGTAGTGTAAATAACGAACCCCTCCAACAACTTGCTCTTTCAAAATAGTACATATCGTACAGAAACTAGCTTGGAAAAATAGCATTTTGTCCAATTGACACGATCATAAAAAAAGACATTTTTTTACATACTTTGTAAATCCTTCTCGAGTGAGAAACCATTGCTTGTACATTTAAATCGAAATCACGGAAAAATATATTCAAAGTTACGTCCATTTACCTATTGGATAGTTTTGATAAGAATGAAGATTCAGTTGGACTCTTGTAACAATTTTTGTTGTTAATTATAAAAAATAAAATAAGTAAAAAAACATTTCTGATGTTTTTCAATTTTGTTAAACCATATNGCTCTATATTATTCTGTTAAACATTCATATAAATTAAAAGATATCTAGGCAAGCGTTATATTATTGGTGTCAGCGGGTGGCGAGGGGCAAGACGCGTATATATATGAGATAGGTAACCGCGCGGCGCAGTCGCGTGGTCGGCGAGATACGCAATGCACGTGTCCGAACTTGATACGCGTATATCGATTTTTTACTAATACTGTTATAGTCAGAAACTGAATTTCATGCGGGCGAAACCGCGGGAACAGCTAGTACGTTATAGCTTAAGATCACAAGTCTAAGTGCAGCCCTGACACAGACACACATCTACACACACATACATACATACATACATACATAAATATGCCTATATATATGTATGATATTTAGGGCTTATTTTATTTGATTGTAAGCACATATCTCTTAATTTTTTTAAACTTTAAGTTGCATCTGATAAAACCAAGTGGATAAAATACTAAACCATGTATTATCAACTGTAAGTGTGATATTTATTTTCAGAAATAAATCATAAAAGGACTTTATTAATAAATCTTACAAATATTCTCTAAATAAATTCATTTTCTTATGTAATTAAATAGGTCAGTTTGTAAATTAGTTTATAAGTGCAGCGTTTAAAACTCAAATAAAAATATAAAAACAAGTAAAATCATTATGATCCAAACACTTTCCATAAAAGTGATGCAATTACAAAAGCGAATAAAAATTAAAAAAAAATAAATAATGACTTAAAGTTTGAACAGCTTTAACAATGTAAATCTAGTTATAATCAAACGGAGAAGGCTTCTTTCCAAAAGTATCCAACTATCCTTCAAGATCAAACGGAAATAACTTTTATACTTTTTATTCGGTTTGGCCTACATAAGTCAAGTCTCGTTTCATTTAAAGTCTAGAGATTTCTTAAGAATTTAATTTAGTTCGTCTACAATTTAACTTTAATTTATTTAATACAGTGCCAATTTCAATATTAATTTTACAAATTTAGTCTAATTTTTATTACAGATGTTATAATTCTTTGGATATAAACAATGATTACTGAATATATTAAGCTATATCCAAATGAATGACTCAATAAAACAATGTTTAATCATTAACATATCTCTATCTGCAAAAATGATAATCTTATTATCTGATCTTCAATTTTTCCTTTATTAAAAGTCGTGTTTTTAATTGTTTTTTCTTCTTAAAGAGAAGGAAAGAAGTTTAAAAATTAGTAACAAACTTTTAGTAAAAAAAAAAACAAAATGTATAACACGAGTGCCTTGTAAAAGTAAAATATTGTTTGCAGCACCAAAAGTGTCTTAGTGGTGAAGTTTGCAATTAAGTATTTTACATAAATGTCTTCGGCATGTCCTGAAATATTACCATTTCGATTGCTAAACATTTCTGTACAGAATCTAGAGTTTTATAAGACTACTTTAATTATGATCAGCCGGTATATTGATAATTTATATTTTTATCTGACTAATAATTAAATTCCACAAGACTAATAAAGTAAAAATGCAGACATATGAAAATATGTAAACTTAAATATTTCATGAATTATAAGTATTATAAGTTATGTCACTACAGTGTTCTTAACGCTGAGTTCACATCTCGGAAATCCTGCAGGCTCACATCACTACAAATTGAAAACATACTCTATCATTTTAATCTATCAATATCTTTACAGCACGTTTTTCTTAATATAAAATAAAAAAGTGTATATACTTATGTATTATGTTCCCTCATAACTGAAGAACGACTAACAAGGGAACTGTCCGAGTGTCTTCTAATAAATTTTAATAAAATTTAGTTAATAACTACGTTAAAAGTATACAAACTCTATTTTAAATTTGTAGCATTCACTAAAAGTGTTGATCAGAGTTATTAGCAATCAAATGTTGCACTACTTTATAGTAGTTTA